GTGTGTGTGTGTGTGTGTGTGTGTGTGTGTGTGTGTGTGTGTGTGTGTGTGTGTGTGTGTGTGTTGTATTTCCATGTAGGCATAAGAGTGAAAAAAGGGAAACTGTTTTATTATTATTATTATTATTATAATTAAGAAATTATTTCTGCAGCCCAGCTCATTTTATCACACATTGACAAATTGTGACACTAAACACAATTATTTAATTTGCCTTATTATTGAATTAAAAGGAATATAATCAGGATATTATGTCCCTAAATGTCATTAAATTTAAAAGATAAATGCAAAAATCCCTATTAAAGCAAACCCATCTCTTCAGGGGTTTCTGAGACTAAGGTTTRTTGAAGAACACTGCCACCTACTGGTTATCTGGTGCAAAAACAACTGATTTCATGTTTCAGAACAAGATKTTTTACTTTACAATAAAACCACAAATACTCATTTATTATCAAATCCAAATGTGTTACATGTCTCTTTATATCTGACTTTAAAACGATAGATTTCTAAAAATGCTGCTTTTTAAAGAACTTCTGAAACAGAAAGTTTCTCTTGATCTGTGCTTTTTTTTTTTTACTTTTCAATGTTTGTTTTTACTACATTCATAAAACTCAACCAGTCTGAAACATACATTTTTATTGGATTTTGTGATGGAAATGTGTCTCTGATGGACCAGAAATGATRCAGCTGTACATTTTATTCAGTTTCTTTCTGCAGCAAAATGACAACCTCAAAAGGTCAAAAGGCAGAGGGTTGTTTCTCTTGAAACAGCTGATTTKTTCTGAGATAATTTGACTCGTGTAACGTTAAACTACAGAAAGATCATCAAATGTTCAAAAGCATGAAAAAAATAAACCAAAACCATCAACTTGTCTGCAAGTTTGACTATTATTGCAGCTAATAATAATAAAAATGATAAAGTCACCAATGACTGCACAGATTTCTCTAAACACTGACTATAAACATACTTCAAGCCATGAAACGGGCATTTTTATGTGTTTTATTGTAATGTAAACAAAAACTACTGAAGTATGCACATATAAAATATTAATCAAATATATTTTTAGAGTAATTCTAAATAAAACATAAGACACAGTCAGGAGTGGTTTTAGCTGAAMTGGAATAAGAACTGACTGTTGAAAAGTCTCAAACCTTTATTTTTAAATAAATCCCACATTGATTAAATGGAAACAGCCTGTGTAGTTCAGTTCAGCTGGTTTTATTGGTGCTCTTTAAGGAACTCCCTCATGTAGCCAGCGAGGGCTTCGGTATCTTCCAGCGTCACAGCGTTGTACAGAGACGCACGGATTCCTCCAACTGACCTGCAGGGGGCGACAAACCGTCATGTTCAGGTCTACGGCCGAAGAAATGTCTCTAAACTAATTACCCGTGTTATATAATGCCTTTTATATTATCAGGAAACAATTCTAAGTACTTTTTTTGTATGCACAAAAGAATATTAATATTTACATAAAATAAGCAGAGGTTAAAGTTCTGCAAAGCAAACCTGTGTCCTTTGAGGGAAATCATCCCACGTTTGGAGGCGCCTTCCAGAAACTTCTTTTCCAGAGCTTCATCTCCTTCTTTCTTTCCCACACGGAAAGGTAAATTCATGCGGCTTCGACAGGACTTGTCCACAGGACACCTGGACAGGTGGATGCAGAAATAAAAAAATTGCTTTTTGGAAAAGTTTTGATTCCAACTCCTTAGTTTTGTTTATAAATTTAGTTTCAAATAAATACTGCAACTGTCTAAATTGTGTCACACAAAAAAAAATGTGTCCATTGAAACATTCCTTCACATATAAACTACAAAAAACAATCAAGTTGTCACTCCTGTTTAATAGGTAGACAAACTGAAACTAAATAGATTTAACTGGACTTAGGCTGAAGTGACACAAAACTCAGAAATTCAACTTCAACGTTAAACTTGAAGTTTTAATACTTACACATAAAAACCATTCGATGAGTCGATGATGTCGTAAATCATGGAGGATTTCTGCTTGTTGAGCGTCTCCATGGCRGCGCTGCCTCCATTGTTCTTGATCCACTCCAGAACCAGAGCCATGATGTAGATGCTGGACCCAATCAAGTCAAAACAGACACATAATAAAAACTGCTATTTTTCTCTTGTAATAAAGTGGTTTTTATTTGTTTTATGTTATATATCTGGTTTAGACACTTTGTTTTAACTCTAACTTTTTTATATTTATCTTGCAGAGCATTAAATAATGTTAAAAGTGGAACTTAATCAAGTCTTGAGGCCATCAGAGTCACACTTTTACTTTTTAACTTGTAAGTCATTATTTTGACTGCCCCCAAGTGGCAGCAAATAGCTCCTACACCCAAAAAATACAAAAAAATAATAATCTCAGGACTTTTAGATCTTACATTTTTACATTGAAATATGTGATAAATAATTCAAAACCAGAAAAAAAAGCTAATTAAGAGGACGTGATTAAATCGTCACACTGATAAGAGAAGCCAGAAGGATAAAAAAACAGATGTTGGATTTACTTTACCATGCTATGTCAGCTGGTTCCACTTAACTGAGTCGAGTAAATTCAAAGCAACATCCTCATGTTCTTTGGTTAGAAATTGGGTRTGCTGCTTTGGATTTACTCAGCTCAGTTAAGTGGAACCAGCTGACAACCTTTCATTTCTTAGAGCGTAATGTCCTAAAACTGGTACCTGAAACACGGCGGTGTGTTGTAGAGGGAGTTCATTTCAGCCTGCACCTTGTAGTCCAGGACGATGGGGCACTCCTTCTGAGTGTGACCCAATAAGTCCTCACGTACGATGACCACCGTGACTCCGGCACATCCAACGTTCTTCTGAGCCCCGGCAAAAATGAGCCCAAACTACACATTTAAAAACAAAATGTTTTCAACAGTCATCTTGATCAGAACTAAAAGAGACCCTTTTTTTTCCGAGAGGCACCTCGCTCTCACCTCATATTAACCCCACAAATTTAAAACCTCAGGTTAACCCTTAATGATTCATTTCTATCCATCCCCCTGACCTCAAACTCTAAAWGATAACCCCAGAGGTTTAATGTCTCAGGATAACCTGATACAGGAAACGGCGTCCCCTTCATTTCCGGAGTGCACTGACGCTACTTCCAAATATGGTATGGGTCTGACACATCGGACCCGACCCCGCCCCTTACTGTTTGCTGCAGCCAGATGTTTTTTTTCCCCCCTCAGTGTTAGTCCCGCCCTCACCTTCGATACGTCCACAGGACGGGACAGGAAGTTGGAGGACATGTCAGAGACGAGAACCACCCCGTTTGTTTCAGGTGTGAAGTTGTACTCCACACCATGAACCGTCTCGTTGCAGCAGTAGTACACATAGGAGGCTGAAGGGTTCAGGGTCCAGGTGCTGGGGTCGGGAATTCCTGGACAGAGCAATGAAAAAATGCTGTTAAACCACATTTTGAGTGTGTAAAAACCCTGAAACCAGATCTGAGACTAAATATGGAGAGCAAGCTAGAATTAAACTTGGCTTTTAACCATTCTTTGGTTGAAATGTTTTGAGTTTAAATGCAGCCCAGACAACCCAAACCATGACAGTAACGCCACCATGTTTCACAAACAGAACATTTCATGCTTAAATGTCGTTTTTCTTCCCCAAATTATATTATTTTTAAAACAAACAAACAAAATGTTTAGTTTATCTATTATCTGTCCACAAAAACATTTTCTATCCATCCTTCTGGTTTGTTCACACGGTTTTTAACAAATTTGTTTAGTCAGACAACCGTCCTGACCGTGCAAAGCAGCTATTTATTAGATTTTATTGAGATCAAATTTAGATTTTTAGCTACTGCTCTAAAATGAAACACAACCTGACAATTAAATGGTGCAGAAATTACCCAGGGTTTCTGAATATAACACACCTTTATTTGAACATTTTAAATATTGTTTCTGTGAGTTTTGTTTCTTTAATATTTTAACCTTCGTGTAAAGATTTTATGACGATTCAGGTCAGATTCATGCAGAAATACAGAAACAGTTCCAACTCTCAAACACCGTGGTGCAAAGACACTCTGAAAATGAAAAGACACAATTGTGTGTAAAAAGGCTGCTGCATTCCAGAGTCTTTCAGCGGCGCTCTGCTCCATTGTTAATTATGCAACAGACTGGAAAAGCTGCCAGATTTTGCAGAGGGTCTTTTCTTCACACAGACTCACTGACCCACTCATAAAAGCTCAAACTTAGTATTTTTTTTGCACAGAACAACAAAAAGTCTCCATTATTCTGCCCCTGTATTCACACAAACAGCATTATGAAATGTCAAGCACACATACTTGTGTAACTATCCAACTTTGGGTGAACGATGTTGACTTTGCCGTATTTCTCTGCTTCTTTCGCAGCTTTTGACGACCACGTGCCGGTCACCAGGTAATCGGCACACCTGTCCTCTTTCAGGCCAATCAGGTTGAGAGGAACTGCGCTGAACTGTCCAGACCCGCCGCCCTGCAGGAACAGGACCTTGTAGTTGTCGGGGATATTCCTGCGGAGACACGTGTTCCTGTGTTAAACGCTTCACGACGAGTCAGAGAGGAACGCCCGTCGCTAAAGTCACTTACAGCAACTCCCGCAGGAGACTTTCTGCCTTGTTGAGGATTTTGTTGAAGTCTGATGATCGGTGACTCATCTCTGGTTTCAAAATAATTAAAAACGTATTAGTTACATGACTCCAGAAGGTAAAGAAGCACAAGTCAGATGCAAAATCTGCATGAAACCAGTTTATACTTTGTTTTGCACTCACCAAGAACACTGAAACCTAATCCACTGTAGTCCAGAAGCTCTTTCTGTGCTTGAAACAGCACCTGCAATCACAAATTCAGCACATCTTCATTGTAAACACTTTTACTTTTTTTTTTTTGGCACGTTTTGAAAACATATGAACTTTTCCAGCTCTCACTGTAGCAGTCCAAAGGCCACGCCCTTAGATTTGGTRTATTGCTAATTTTAGTTAGCATTTTGCTTCTCTTAGCTTTGAGCTAGTATTCTGCTTTTTTATCTTTAACAACTCAGCTTCAGCTTTTTTATGGTGATGAAATAGGCCCTTTAATCAACATTAAACTGAATAAATGATTCTTGAACAGCTGGTTTTTCTGCCATCTAGTGGTTGAATCCGTTGCAGTGATTGAAGCACAAAAAGCTGGTTTCCACATGAATGAATGAAGGGAGGCTGATGCAACTCAGCTCCCAGTTTTCAGCCTGATGAGCTGCAACACATATTTTATCGTGCAGAGATATGAAAGCATCAATCAATGAATGTTCGCACGATAACTGCTGCGTCACAAGAGGGGAAAAAAACTGCTTTTACAGTAAAAACTGCTGAGCTTTTTACGCAGCTGGTTTATTTAAAGATAACCACAATTAACGCCACGACGGTGTAGAAAATATTTCAAGATGTGCATCAGGAAAACATACCCCCAACAAAGAACACAAACCCCCCTTTTTTTAAATACATTATCTGTCATTTCGTTTTTAAGCTAGTAGCATTTTTGAAGCATTCCCACAGATTTTGCGGGCGCACACACGCAGACAGTAGACCCAAACTTACAGACTGAGGTAGTTTTGCAGGTCCAGGGCTAAAATTAATGATGTGTTTCTCCTCCATGATTTAAATGAAGCTCCTTTCAACACAGCAAATGCTTTTTCTGCCTACACAGGGCGCTGCTGTGTGAGAGAGCGAGCTCTTCTGTCAGTAGTCGCTAGACGCAGTTGACGTAAACTGTTGCGTTCATGGGATCCTCGTAAACTGGAAATATACGCTATACCAAGACAACCCATGAAGTGGACCTTGAACTTTTTTTTTTTATCTTTGTACCCCTTTGAGTTGGATATTCTTCAATACTAGAATGATTTAATATTTTGAAGTTGTTTACTGGTCGCAAACTAGGCATGGTCATGTTATTTTTAATCAGCTGTAAATTTGAACTCTACAAAATCCTGTTCTTTTCAACGTCCTAAAACGCATCGCAGAATTTAGTCAAACTCAAATAAAAAAAACTTTATTTATAAAGCAATTTTAAATTTAGAGAAAATGCTGTAACGTTGACTCCTAAATTAAAAGAAACAGAGTACTATCTAAAGCAGGGGTCTGCAACCTGAGGCTCAAGGGCCACATGTGGCTCTTTGGTTC